CGCTGTTGATGACGTTAGCTACGCGGTTTAGTCGAGCGCGGTTTAGTCGAACACGGTTTTGTGGTGGAACCATGTACAATTACATGAGTCTACTTTTTATGTACATTAAACAAATTTAGTCACATTCTATTTACTAACAGACATATGTAATTTTGATATTATGGCTTATAGATGGTTTCTAAAGTTAACATTATCTATTCCAATTCTCTTTCATAATTTATACCCAGCATGGTCAACTAGGCTGCCTAAGATGGAAAGAAATTTAACACATCTACTGAGATCCTGCTCAGGGAAACTGTATTAAGAGTCTGAAAGAGTATGATTTTTACTAGATTAAATTTAACACATACATTTGACAATCAGCACCAATTGTGGATATTTTAAGATAACTATATATAGTAAATTAAATAATGTATTATTAAATATATGTAAAACTACATGCTAATTGTAGTAAAATTACATACTCATTTTATTATATACTTAATAATTATTTATTTAACAACCGTAAGCTGCTCAGAATTTACTACAAGATGGGAAGCTATATAAATGTTTGAAATAAACAAAGAAGCAGGCTGTGGAGGGATAACTAGATTCCTCGGCAAAAATCCTGATAGGACACCAGTGTAGTGGCAGGGTTGTTTGTTTGGTGATTATGCTGCCAATATCTATCCTGCTGAGGACCAATTGTTCAAGTCCTTAGGTTTCCTGTTTAGGATAAATAGGACTCTCCAAGCACCAGTTCCCTAATTTCATTCAATGAATTAAATTTATATAACTGAAGAATAAGCAGCAGAAATAGATGAAATACTTGGCTCCTGAAATCATAGTAATAAAAGACAAGTTTCCAGAAGATATCATTTTGGAAATGAGGAAGAATTGAAATGAGTAGGTTTATTAACAATTCCAAAACACACAATCAAATAAAAAATGAGATATAATGTTAATATTGATCTAGATTCTGAAATCCAGACTCAATCTTCCCTGAAGCCTAGCCACCTTAAATCCAGCACTCCCAAAGGCCTAGGAATATGAAATGACAGAGAGGGACAACATGAAATATTCTGCTATCTATATCTCAGATTGTGCTAATTCTAGTCCTCTAATATAGTACACTTCTGATTTTGATATATTTCCAATTTTGACAGAATATTTCTATACTTAGTAAAGAATTGTGTGTTAAACATGCTTATTTTAGTATCTTTAAGAGGAATGTAATTGCTATACCTTTTTTACATCAAAAATCACTCAAATTAAATTTGCTTTCTCAAAGAAATATATCTGAAACCATTATGTGTCAATTAGTTTGTACTGCTAGTTTCTGAAATGGTTCAGCAATATTTTTGCACTGATACTGGATTATCTAATGGTACTTCTTTCTTCAGTTCCATTGGTTTGATTATCTTTTGCAATTCAGAAATCCAGTCTGGATCATCATCTGCTTCAAAATCCCTATGAAAATATAAAGAACAATTAAGAAAGGAAAGGGAGATTATCATTTAAAGAAATCCATAACTACTAAATACATATATTTTCTGATTAAAAACCCTCAGGACTCCTAGGAGGTATTTTTACCATTAAAATTATTCTATAAATTCTTTTGTACAATCTATTCTTTTGTCTATTACAGTCAAAATGCATATATAATATGTGCTTGAAAGAAATTATTTTTCTCTGAGGAAAGTTTTGAATGTCTAAAGCAAATATTTATATATTTATGTTCTCTTTTTGCCTATCTGCTTTTTTGAGAACTTTCATTGGTCATACATCAGCTTTAGGATTCTGTTCTTAATAATCTTCAATATTTCTTTTGTACACAAAGACTACAAGGTATAAATCAAATACTTCTCTGTGCTAGTGGGCTCCTTAAAAATATAGAATAATAAATTTGTAACAACCACTATGGTCTTACATAAAAGGCAGATTGAGTTCAAATGTCATGTTCTGGTGATAGCATAATAGACAGTATGACAGATCACTCATGAAGACTTCCAATTTTTCATGTTTTAAGAGAGACTATAATTCCATGGGATTATAATAAAATTCATGTATCATAAAATTTATGATTCAAAATTTGTTCCACATATTACTTGTTATAGTATACCTGCTCCTAAATCAAATTAGGAATTTATTACATTGAGGGACAAGACTTCTGCCGATCGAAACAGAATTGGGGGGCACAGGGGGAAGAGGCCGAGTTGGGGGGAATCTTAACTAAAA